AGAGAGAGAGAGAGAGAGAGAGAGAGAGAGAGAGAAAAAAAAAAAGATTGCGCGCGCGAGAGAGAGAGACAGTTGTTGCAGCGGAGCGTGGAGCGCAGCGGAGCGTGGAGCGCAGCGGAGCGGCGGCGTCGACTCGACGAAGGCGGAGCAGCGAAGCGCGCAGCGATGGCTGCGAACCGGCACGCGCGGTCCCGAAAGACGCCGTTGAATTTTTAATTCAACGGCTTTAAACGCGATTTATCGCGTTTGAACGCGTTTGAACGGCGTTAAACGCAGCTTAACGCGCGGGCCCGCGGTGCGCTTGTGGCGGTTCAGTCGACTGCGCGTGGGTTCAAGCGAGCGGGGGAGACGGTGGGGGGCGCTAAACGGGGGACCCTGAGGTGAGGGACCCTGAGGCGGGCGGCGGTGAAGGAGGGTTGGATTGCGGAGGGGGTTGGGGGAAGGGGGACCCTGCGGCGGGCAGCGGTTAACGGGGGTTTAGGCACCGGTGATGAGGTCGGGGTGAGTCAGCAAGGGTTGTCTCGCCAGGGTGGTCGACATGGGGAGGGCACAGCGCCGTCAGCATGAGGCTACCGCGGACCATGTGCAGGACACATTCAGTGCCCGCTCCCCTGTCTATCGGTACCTGGTTGTCGGCCAGAAGGTCGACAACAAGGGGGTCATGATGCTCCGTTGCACGTTTTGCAACAAAGTTTTCCAAGGGACCCAATTTCAAGCCACGAGGCACTTCTCGCAGACAAACTACTGCAAGGACATCAGCGACGGTGGGCATGGTGCGGCAGACCCCACTTTGGGTGGTGGAGGCGGTGAGACGGAGGAGGGCGTGATCCACGTAGATCGCGAGGCGCGTGGCCCGGGTGAGGACGGAGTCCCGAAACGGGAGGACGTGCCAGAGTTTTATCAGGCACTGGGGAGAGGTTGGAGGACTGGCAGAGGCGAGCAGGCAAGGGAGCTGCAACGGAGGGGTCTTCCAAGAGGAAGGAAGGAGGAAGTGATCCAGCTGCCACCCCAGCAGGGAAGAGGCTTCGCCAGCAGAAGGTGACTGTTGTCTACGGTGGCGAGTGGGTTGCTCGCCACAAGAAGGCATTCCTTCGCTGGCTGTATTCCAGCGGGGTCTCCTTCAATGCCTTCCGCAACCAGGCGTGGAAGGCATATCAACAGGTGCTTCTTGAGCAGCCTGGCAGTTCCCCGCGCGCAGTGCTCCCCAACCACTGCGAGATTGCGAGTATGCGGGCGGTGGAGACCCACCGTGCGGAGTTGGCAGAGGAGTTGGAGGAGGTGAGGCAGCCATTCTGGGTGACAGGTGCCACCCTCCTCTCCGATGGAAGGAAATCACGAGACGGGAGACCGATCGTGAATTTCCTTGCTGCTGGCTCTCGAGGGGTCTTCGTGTACATGACGATCAATCGAGAGGGCGAGGCGGGCGATGCAGTGCACGTCCTTCGGAGATGGGTTACCATCTTCCACGAGTTCAGCTTCGGTGGGCCGCAGCGGATCAATGCGATATGCACGGACTCCGCTTCTGCCTATGTGGGGGCTGCGAGGGCATTGACCTCGCCGTCCATACCTCCTGCACTGAGGATCACTTGGCTCCCGTGCTCCATCCATGTCTGCAACAAATTGTTGTCAGACATGGGGACGAGTTGCGACGCGTTTGTGGACGCGATCACACGCGCTCGTGTGCTGGTGGTGTTTTTCAAAACCCACCAAGCCGCCCTTCATTTTTTTAGGTCGCGCAGCCCCGACAAGGGGCTTATTCTTTCTTGCAAGACGCGGTTCGCGTCTGTTTACTCCATGCTGGAGAGGCTGTTGGCCCTGCAGGACATGATGCGAGGGGACGACGCGCAGGCTTTTGCTTCCATCCCGTGGTCCACCGATGTGTGTGTCATGGCGCGTTGGGTGCGCCGATAGATCAGATGGGATTCATGGTGGCAAAGGGTGGCCACCATCGTCCATATCATGCAGCCCGTCATGGAGTTGCTCAGGCGGATGGATCGTGGAGGACAGTACATGTCCCTCATGATCTAGTGGACGCAGGATCTTGTCCGCCGTGTCACGGTCGCATGCGCCCCTTTGGGGAAGTCGTTCGCCGAGCGGATCATCAGGCGTGTGCAGGCTCGCACACAGCACATGCTTGAGCCGGCTCACTGCGCAGGGTTCTTACTGAACCCCCGCAGGCGACACGTTCGCTACTTTTCGGGGCAGGTAGAGCGGTACGATGCTTGGCTTGTGGGGCAAGCCAAGAGGTACATTCTAATGCAGACGGGATTCGAGTTGGGAAGGTGCGGAGTACATCCTTCCATGTCGGCAGTTTGAGGACTTCCACATTCAGCAGCGCCGGTTCGGGGATTGGGGCGGGCCAAAGGGGCGTGCTCATGGGCGCGCGTGCAGCGGCGACAGCGAGACGATTGAGTGCGCGTCTTGGTGGTCTCAGTTCGAGACGGGCGCGCCAGAGTTGCAGCGTTGCGCTCTTCGGGTGATACATCTGGTCTTGCACCTCTCCAGCGGAGACGAACTGGGCAGTCCACGAGGGCATTCACACGAAGAAGCGCAACCAGTTGGCCTTCGAGAAGGTCGTGCAACTCGTTGAGATCACCGCAAATGTGCGGTTGACTGAGTATCGTCGGGTTGGATGCAGTTATGTGTTGCCATGGCAGCGGGACGAGGGCATGCTGAATTGCCAGGCAGGACTCGAGCTGGAGCCTGTGCGCTCGAGGACTCGCAGGGGGATGACGGAGGAGGAGATTGCCCGTCAGGTTGCACTTATTACCCAGGATCCCATCGGGGCGTCCGCACCACCCTCGGCTGATGCCCTTTTCGATAGACGTGATTGCATTTTTCGTCCCTACCCCAGCGAGGACGACTCAGACGAGGAGCCGATACCCGAGGCCGCAGATGACCCTGCGCTCCGCATTCCCCGGGAGATCGACGAGACGCACGAGGATCCCAACTCCGAGGAGACGAGGGCACACACTACACGACGGGCAGCGGATCGGGCGGAGAGGGAGATGCTGGGGGGAGACGAGGACTTTTGGGGCCCATTCGGTGAGGTCGCTTCCACTGGCGGCCCAGAGGCGCAGGCGACGACCCCCACTCCGAAGAGGCGGGATTCGTCCATGCCGCCACCTCCTGCTCCGAGTCCTGCACCACCATCGCCCGTCTCGCCACTTCAGCCGGACAGGGAAGAGTTGGGGTCCTCTTTGCCTCAGCGCGGCCTTCTCCACAGAGGCGGGGCAGTCCACCAACTTAGGTTACGATCACCTTCCCCGGGGATATTGCAGGAGGAGGGGGCACCTTCGGTAGCAGCAGTGGAGAGTTCAGTGGCACCAGCGGCGGTGCCGGACGCGACGATCGCAGCCGCGGTGGAGGAGATAGCAGCAGCAGCAGCAGCATCACTGCTGGAGGAGATGGCAGCATCAGTGTTGGAGGAGGATCCACCGGCGGCAGGAGGAGGTGCAACAGTGGAGGGGCAGGTGGCCGCAGCAGGAGGAGCAGGTGGAGGAGCAGCAACAGTGGAGGTTGAGGTGGCAGCAATAGTGGAGGAGGAGGAGGCACCGTCGGCAGCTGCAGTGGAGGAGGAGATAGCTGCACAGGCCGAGGTGCAGCGTGGGGGCGATGACGAGCGCCTCATGCAGCAATTCCTCACGGAGGAGCTCGGTCCGGCCATAGCGGGTATGACCCCGGGTGTGGCGAGGGGGTTTGGGATTTCAGATTCGGAGATGGGGACCCACTTAGACTTAGATTTGTCGATGGGCCTTCCACCTAGTTGCCGCGGGGCGACATCGACGGACCGGGCTCCATTGAGGGACGAGGCGCCAGGACAAACTTCGACGCAGACCGCGAGAGAGAGGACGACGACTGAGTCTCCAGATGCAGCATGCGACATCATGGAGCGAGAGAGGGCTGGACTTTTGGCATCGACTAACCCGCGTGCTCAGGCGTTCGCACGGGCCGTAGAGGAGGCCAGGCGTCGAGAGATAGGGGGGGATTGTGTGCAGGGTGGGGTGGTGGCAGGGGAGGACGTTGCGGAGGGAGTGGCAGCAGAGCCGGTACCCGAGGCTATGCCGGGTGGAGCAGAGGCAGCGGACGTTGCTGTGGAGGGACGGCCTCAGGCAATGGATGAGGCTGTGCAGGCAGGACAGCGGCGAGTCGAAGGGGCTATAGACGCACGGCACAAGGTCCAGGAGACAGCAAGGGGTACAGTCGTTCCTTTCTCGGGCCTACACTTGGCTCAGGCCCGACAGCCGCAGGCGGTTCAGATGGCAGTGCATGGTGTGCCACCGCCCGTTATCACGGATTTGGGGTCCGAGCCGTTGGTTGTGCCCCCACGTCTTTCTAGCCACTTTGCTCCGCAGGAGGTCCGTCATCCTTTGGATGCAGAGGAGTTGGCGAGAGAGGCTGTGCACGATGTTACTCGCTTGGACCGGCGCATCTTCGACCGGAGGCTCGAGCATCCACGATGGCAGTCGATCCCTTCGATTCCATGGGGTCCTGTGTCGCCCGTGTGGTTTGGGTCTACCTCCACCGGAGGACATACCGCGGGACATGTTCCAGGGGTTTCGGGTGGCGTGACGGAGACAGCGCCACGCACAGGAGACATGCCACCCCCTCCTCCCAGAGCACCTGCAAGTGATCCATCATCGTCGCCCACAGGCAGAGGCTCTCGATCCCCACACATGCCTGGGAGATCTAGGATTCGTGACACGACAGCAGTTCAGCAGGACGTGTGTGACACGACGATATTCGGGAGGACAAATATAGATTTGGATTCCACCCGCCGTGTCACGGAGCACACTGCACGCCTTCARCCRRGCTTGGGAGGAGGARGCGCYARGACGACYGCGGCRAGGGAGGTACYGGCWTCAKGTTGTGAGCCTCAGCGAGRTCKTGGCAGAGGAGTGTCCAYCGAGACCTTGGAGTACGCTCTGAGAGCAGCGACGCGTGCCRTGYAGGAGCAGACTCCACRCAAGYGYGGAGTGCCTCCTCGTCCACGCCCCGTGCCTGCAGAGGGAGGCGCAACACTTGGAGAGAGTTCGGGGGCGGAGGGGTTGGGGATGCCTCGTGGATCCCGCCGTGAGCAGACCATTGCAGAGGCTAGTGCGAGGGTTGTTGTGTTGAGGAAGGGAGGAGGCCCAGTCACCATTGAGGAGGATGATCCTGATACGGATGCGGCTGTGCGGGATGCGGACGAGGACTACGAGGGCGAGGAGGGGG